CAGCCAACTTGCTAACTTCTTCAAGTCTTTGCCCAAATGTTATCTTCTTAAGGAGGCTTTCTCTGATCACTTTTAAAAATTGAAGCTGCCACTCATCCCCTTCTTCTGACTCCTCTTTCTCCTAGTCTTTATTTTCCATAGCATTTCCTTTCCACAGTTTACATTTTACCAGAGATAAAGAACATTTCATAATGATAAAAGGATCAATTCCTCAGGAAGACGTAATAATAAAGGAGAATATACCTATTAGGAGCTTCAAAATACCTGGAGCAAAAACTGACAGAACTGAAAACAGAAATAAATCCATAATCACAGTTGGAGATTTAAACGCTCCCTCTCAATCATTGACAGAGCAAGTGCAAAAAAAGTCAGTAAGGATATGTAACATGTGATGACATTTACTAAGTGCTGTAGCCCCCACTGCAGAGTCCACATTCTGTCCAAGTGGCTTTTTCATCAAGACTGGCCCCTAAAATAAAAGTCCTGATAAATTTCAAAAGGTTGAAACCTATAGAGTATATTACCTGAACACAATGGAATTAGAAATCAGTAACAACTATTTATAAAATTCCCCCAACTTGGAAATTTAATAATTTACTTCTAAACAAATAAGAGAAGGAATCAGAGGGGAAATAAGATAATATTTTGAATGGAATGATAATGAAATAAAAACATATCAAAATTTGTGTAACTGAGGCAGTGATTAGAGGGAAATTTATATCTTTAAATGCATATATTATAAAAGAAAAATGTTTGGAATCAGTGATCCAAGTTTCCACAGTAAGAAGCTGGTAAACAAAGAGCAAATTAAACCCAAGGCAGAAAACAATAAGGCTCAGGGGCAAAAAAAAATCAAACAGTATGTAATAGACAAAAAAGAAGAAAATTGACAAAGCCAACATTGATTCTTTGAAGAAAATTAATAAATGCATAAACTCCTATCACAAGTAGTAAAGAAAAACAGAAAAAAATAAACACATTACTAGTATCAGCAATAAAAGATGGGCCTTGACTACAGATCCTGTAAACATTTTGGATACTAAGGAGTCACTTTTCAACCACAATGCTCCCCTGCCACAGCTGCTTCTCTGCCCTGAGCAGCTCCTCCCTGCTGTCCTTACACGAGAGCTGCTCCCCACCCTTCCCCACAGCTGAAGCAACCTTCAGGAATGAAGTTCTCTCACCCAGACCACATTGCCACTGAGAAATCCAGCAGGCATGAGTTTGTGTCATGAAATTCTCCAACTCATCACATACCTTCAGAGCTTCCTGACATATCAAAGGTATGTCTTCAGGGCTATTCTCCTAATTTTAAACCGGACATCTTAACTGGTGCTTTATGTGGCTCAGTCCCCACACTCACTGAGTTACATTCAAGGAAGCAAGGATCAGAAGCCAAGAAGTTGTAGAAAAAGAATTCCAAGCTTGATTTGTCTCTCCCCCAAAACATGAAAGGATTCCACATCATAAGCTACATAACATTGCCTGAAACCACCTCCCCAATCCTCTCCTACCATTCAGATACGCTGGGCTCTAAATTTTCCTAAGCTTTCCCCACTCCTCAGGCCTTGCATTTTGACATCATACGACCCCAGCAAACAGCCTCGAGAGAAACATCTCACCACCACTTCTGCAGCTCACCGGACCACTGTGAAAAAGCTACAGGCTCTGACAACTTCCTGGTCCTCCCTTGAGCCCAAGTAGTTAAACATAGAGGCCTTTTAAGAATGTAATTCTCACCCTAGCAGGTTTGGTTCAGTGTATAGAGCGTCGGCCTGCAGACTGAAGGGTTTCCAGGTTCTATTCCAGCCAAGGGCACATGGCTGGGTTGTGGGCTCAATCCCCTGCAGGAGGCAGCCGATCAATGATTCTCTCTCATCATTGATGTTTCTACCTCTCTCCCCCTCTCCCTCTCCCTTCCTCTTTGAAATCAGTAAAGAAATATATATATATTTTAAAAAGAATGTAATTCTTTTATTCTGACTCAATTTCTTTCAAGCAATTCTTTATGTAAATTTTCTGGAGAACAAAACCTGTTACTTTTTTGTTCTCCAATTTGAACAAAAGAATAAAAAGTAGAGGATATTTTGAATTGGCCCTAGTTTTTAATATTCAGGGATTTTTGTCACAAAAATCTAAAGAAGGGAGGAGGGACTATCGAATTTGGAACTTTCCCAGGCATGTGTGATTGACTTAAGTGACATGATTCTCCTGTTCCTATATATACACACTCTCATTAGCAAGATGACTTTACTGTTCCTCCTGTTGGGAGGTAGAGTCTACTTCTCCAAGCCCTGAGTTGGGGTTGGTCATATAACTGCTTTGGAAAATGGGACATTAACAGTTGTGACAAGCAGAGGCTTGGAAAGGACTTGCACTGTTCAGCTTAGTCTCTTGCTGTTCTTCCTACTGCCTGGGCTAGCCTTATGGTTGATGAGAGATGTGGCCTAATCATGCCCATCACCCCAGCCAACAGCCTGCCAACTGTCCAATGTGTCAGTAAGGCTGTCTTAGATTTTCTGACCTCCAGCCGACCCATCTGCTGATCATAGATGTGTGAGCCAACCCGGCAGAGGTCAGCCGAGTCAGACCAGACCAGAATAGCCCAGCCAACTAATCATGAGTTAATTAAATTTATTTCAACTCACCAAGTTTTGGGGTGGCATGTTACTCAGCAAAAGCTAACTGAAACAGCATTAACAATTATTTAATCAGGTTTTGATTAGTTCAACAGATGCCTCCTGAATGCCTTCCGTAAGGCCCTCTGCCTGGCACTGGGATCCAAAGCCAAATAAGACAGTTTGTACCTAGAATGGTCCCCAACCTAATAGTAGTATAAGGATACTAGCAAATAGATAATGGCAGTGCAGTGCGATGAATAATGGGGAAAGGTATGATTTAGAAAATGGAGACATAGACAAGCATGATTCATTGGCTTGGGATGATCTAGGGGGAAAAAAAAATAGGTGACATCAAAATTGGATCCTCACCAATTAACTAAAGTTTACAAGGCAAGTAAGTTGGGGAGGGCATTCTAGGCAAAGGAAAAAACATATGTAAAGGCTCAAAGACATAAAATGACAAAAAATGTTGCAACCTGAAAGGGGATGGAGAAGTGATGATGAAGAAAATATGGTTCAAATAAACTGTTTGGAAAAGAGTCCTAGCTATTGTAGAAATACCACAAAATGAAGTAAATAAGAAATCACTAAAGTGAAAAATCACAATAAACGTGTTTGAGTATGAATTATCACAATCATTTTCCTTCCTCCCACTCCCTCTGACGTTGGACCCTGTTGCAGTAAGTAAAGCTATTGGAATGCAAGTCTCCTCTTATCCACTTTATGGTTATTCTGATAGTTTACACTATCAGCCTCATTCTGTTAAGCTCATTTAATTATACTTATTGTTGTTCAAGTTGGAGCATATGCACACCTTGATTGGCATATATACCCCCAGTGACATGAGAGGCACAATTATTTGCAAAGAAATTTAACATTTTTCACATTGATGCTAATCAAGAATTTTCCAGTCAACCCCTTAAAACAAACACAGTGGAAAAGAATTTGTTTAAAATGCAGGTGTCCCCCACTTTTTGAAGATCCATGTTACCTTACTTCACTTTTATGGATGACTCCATCAGCATTGTGTCTGCTAACAAAAGAAATCTGAAGCTTTTTGCTTTTATGAAAAATGGTGAAAAGCAATCATAGCATTCAGCATTTGTTGTGCAGCATCTGTTATAGAGGCAGTAGCACCCCGAGCAGAGAGAGTGGCCACCCAGCTCCTTTCCGGGGAACACACTCAGCCTCTCAGCATCAAGCCCCATCGCTGACCCGAGTCTGTGAGCATCTGTGCTTCATCTCCGTTTATTGTACATTCATTAACAAGATATGTCCTAAGGTATCAGAAAGGCCTAAGAGAGTTCGTAAGGGTGTTATGCTTAGTATAAAACTGGGCATAATTGTTTCCACTATTGTGAACAAAATGAAAACACTGTGCGTGCATTGAGCTTGCCTGCGTTCACCATTCATGCTACTTATCCAGAGAAAGAGCATCATGAAAGCTGCTGAAGTTACTATCAGTTCTGCTGGTAGCAAAGTGGCCTCTTAGTAAGCATCCAGTAATGGGTAAAATGTAGTCTGTTGCTTAAGTGGATTGATGGATGTTCAAAGTGTGGTATTCCATTAGGTTATACTTAAGGAGAGATTGGTTAACCTTTTTAATAAGTGAACTACACTGTACAAATATTATTTCTACTTTATAGGCTGTTTATTACATCATACTTATTTTAGGTTTTATGGGTTATTTGGTATGATGTTGTAGGTTACTTTTTGGGTCTGGGAATGCTGAAAATGTTTTTCATATAAATTAATGGTAATTACTTTTTCTCTCTCCGTCATTTCAGCTTGTGAAAGTTTCATAGGAAGGAACGCTGAACTGTTGGATGGTGGTGGTGGTGGTGGTGGTGG